TCTCAGCTCCCTCCTCTCCCACATCTGTTCTTCAATTCTTTCACCTGTGTTTGTTTTCACTTCTCAATTATACTACTTATATCCTTTAATCTTGGTATCTGTGGCCAAATATCTATTGTTATACATATTTCTGTGTGTTTGGAATGGTTAAATAATTATATTTTGAGTGTGTCTGTCCATCTCTACATTTAATGGATTGAATAACCATGTGGATAACATTGCAAACCAAGCCTGGTCATACTCATTGCTAATCTGAGAACTTGAGAGGCTGAAGCAGGAGGATCGTGAGTTCAAAGCCAGCCTGGGCTACAAAGCAAGCTCCAGGCGAGCCTCAGTATGAGACCCTGTCTCGAAACATTTTAAAGCATGTTGTGTGTGAGAGGGAGCTATGCAGCTGGCCTCAGATTGACACACAAAGGATCACAAAAATATGCCTTCCATCCCATTCTCTGGTCCCATGCATAGGTAGCCTGGCTTAGCAGAGGTTTTCTTTGTTTTCCTTCTTTCTACTCGACTCCTCTTTCCCTCAGAGTTTTAAGGGTTTTCTCCCAGAACAGTAATGAGTATGATGGGGCTAGTGAACTCAAAACAGTCAGAGAATCGGGAACAGTCTTCCAGGCACACTGTCCAAGTGCAGTGAGCTAGCAAACGGGTGGTAGAAGCAAAGGCAGGGTGGCCCCCTTTCCCCTCTCGCAGTCGTGGGAACACACAGTGAGTAGCTTTCTGAGTGCATGGTTTTCTGGTCACTTTTGAGGAGAACACACAACCTGTTTGTCTCTTCACAGCCTATAAATACCCTAGTCACGGGAAGCACACCCAGCACTGCTGGTGGGAACTGCCACTCCTTCCTGGACCTCTTTTCTTCAACTGACTCCAATGCCTGCAGTTCTCTGGAGTTACTGACTTGTCTGTTGATGGAATGCCCAGGCAGTGGCATTTAATTTCTAAAGTAACTTTTCAGAAAACATTACTGGTATTTTGTTCTTTTTTGTTGTTGTTCTTATTTTTTCGAGACAGGGTTTTTCTGTGTAGCCCTTCATGTCCTGGAACTCACTCTGCAGACCAGGCTGGCCTCCAATTCACAGAGATCTGCCTGCCTCTGCCTCTCGAGTGCTGGAATTAAAGGCATGTGCACCACCACTACCTGGCTAAGTATTTTGTTCATTTTAAGAGTGTTAATATGAAGAAAGAAACATGATGGAACTTTTTACAAGCACTTTATGTCTTGAAGTTAGAATAAAGAATAAGAATTTACTATGTCTGGTGTCACTGCAAAAACCTTATATGTTTTTGTGATTGAAGCTAATTAATTACCATTTCACATAATGTTTGGATATATTATATACTCAAAGCTTATTAACTGGGTCAAATTAGAGGAGCATTTATAGACCATACATTATTATACCGCACATATGGAAAAAAACCATAGGTTTAGTGCTTTACACAGTTTACTAAAAATATAAAGTGGATTTTTACTTCATTTCAACTCTATGAGTGGTATTTCTAAACTACCAGAAAGAACTTAAAATAGTTTGTTCTTCTATTATCAGTATTTGACATAATATTGTTTAAAGTACTCTTTGGTCATTTCTGTAACAAGAGTACTTAATCCAGCAATGGCAAACAGCGTCTCTACGTCCCCTGCCTAGATAGTTTAGTTTTACCACATTCTGAGAATTTGATGCCACTAGCATGGCAAAAGTTGTACCTTTAGTCATAGCTCACAGAACTGTGTGAATGTGGATGTATATATGTCTGCATGTCAGGTGCATGTGTATTATCATGCTGGCGCGTGTGTATCATGTCAGGTGCATGTGTATCATGTCAGGTGCATGTGTATCATGTCGGGTGCTTGTGTATCATGCTGGTGCATATGCATGTGGAGGCTAAAGGTCAACCAGGGTGTTATTCCTCAGAAGCCCTCCACTTTCATCTGTTTGTAGCAGTCTCTCACTGGATCTGGGACTCACCAGATGAGGCTGACTGGGCAGTGAGCCTCAAAGATCATCCCTCCTGGGTGCCCTGCACTGAGGCAGATACCAGGCATGTGCCAGCACCATGCCCTGCTTTGGCTATGGCTGCTGGGGTTCCAGTGCAGATACTCATGCTTACACGACAAGCCATCTCCCCAGCCCCTTAATCTTTACTTTTTGTCCAGTTGAAGTAACTGCAGATTTTGGTTTGCTCAGTGGAGCCCTTATTTATACTTCCTTTCCTGGCATAAATGTTCATATCACTTTGTCATTCTCATAAGTGTTCTAGGGCCAATGATAAGACCATCTTGTATCTAGTAGAAGTCTGATTTCTTCTAAGGCTGTACCTCAAAGCCAAGAACTTGTCCTCAGATCACTAGAAGTACTTTACATCCATCAATTTAGGATAGCAGGTAAAATTTGGCATGCATATTAAAAAGTGGTTGACATAATAGTCCTTAAAATAAGTAGTATGTGAGTGCTTGCCAAATACAATAGAGCAGCTTTCCTTCACAGTCAACACTAGAGGTGGGGGAACTCACTCTAATAGTTGAAGCATACTGCACAAGATAAATTAGCTAATAAGTCACTCTTCTGGAATTTGAACCCTTGTACTAACTTTAGAGTTCTCATTCATAACAACTGTGTTCTTCAAGGAAGACATGTTAGGATATGATGGGAAATCAGGTCAGTATGTTGAAGCATCAAAGCCACTGGGGAAGTGCTCGCTCAATAGATTTCCTTTTCCTTTTCCTGCCTCTTCCAGAAAAGGGAGGCCCACAAAAGAAACTGCCCCATCCATTCTGACCTTGCAGGCTCAAACAGTACCTTTGGCAATAACAGGAGAAAGCCAGTCATGATATTGTAAAGGGCCATCACCCAGGCAAACCTCAGAGCCAGGCTTCACCCTCCTTTCTCCTCCCTTGAGTCCAGTGACTCCAAATTCAGTGTCTTGAGAAGGTCTCATTCCCAGTTCCAGGACAGTATAGGCACTAAGCAATTAGACTTGTGGAATGCTTTTGAGCTGAGTTAACCATAACCAAGCATCCAGTCACACTGTGGGACCACTGCAGGAATTACCGTCAGTTCCGGAGCATTAAGCAACACTTCACTGTGCTCCACAGCTGCGTCACCTGTGGCTTGTTTACCACGCTCGGATGCCATTTCTAGTTCGAAGGAGCTTGTGTGCTGGAGAGCGCAGCTGTCTCTGGATCGGAAAGCATATAGAACAACCCATTTCCGTGCCATCCGATTAGAGCTTAGAATGTAGGGCTTCAGTTAGCCAGTTTTTCCTTCCCTTGCCTAGGAAGGCCCAGAGCAAGAGTCACTTCCTCCCTACACTACCAGACTGTCAGTTTCACCTCTTAGTAGCACGACAGCCTCAGGCTCCTTCCATTCTGTGTGCTGACTGTGTGCTCTTCTCTCTCTTCCTAAAAAGGCAATTGTGGACTTGAAGATCCTTAGCCTGGTATGGGACAGGTCTTAATGACATCCCCTTTCTCCCTCTCCTCCCCGCTTTGGTGGGAGGGGGGGGTGTTTACACACATATGCATGGATGGAGGCCAGAGAGCAACGTCAGGTGTCTGTTTCGATCACTCTCCACCATTTTTAGAGACAAGCTCTCTCACCAACCCCGCCCTCAAGGAGATCTGCCTGCTTCTGCCATCCGAGCACCTAGATGGTAGGCAGCCGATTTTTCTGTGGGTGCTGGGGATCTGAGCTCAGGTCACCATGATTGTACAGCAGATACTTTACTGATGGAGCTAATCTTCCAGTCCCAGTTTACTTTTTAATTTTTTGAAAAGAAAATGTCTCTGCTGCTGCATCTAATAGGCCACTGTGCAGTAAGATTAGGAGAGGACTGAGACACAGTTCAGTCGGCAAAGTGCTCTTTGTGCCTGAATTCAACCTCAGACCCACATTTAAAAAACTGGGCACAGTGACACACACAATTCACAGTTGCACTGCTGGGGATGGGGATGCAGATCCCTGGGAATTGCCACCCAACCAGCGTAGACTACTCAGGTTCCAGGCCAGTAGAGACTATGTCTCCAAAAACAAAAACAACCCTGAGAAGTCATACCCAAAGGTATGATGGAGGAAGGTCATTGGTTAAAAAATAAAGAAACTGCTTGGCTGGCCCTCATAGGTTAAAACATAGGTGGGAGGAGTAAACAGAACAGAATGCTGGGAGAAAGAAGCTGAGTCAGAGAGTCGCCATGATTCTCCTGCTCCAGACAGATGCAGGTTAAGATCCTCCCTGGTAAGCCACCTTGTGGGCTACACAAATTATTAGAAATGGGTTATATTAATATGTAAGAGCTAGCCAATAAGAGGCTACAGAAAACGGGCCAGGCAGTGTTGAAAAGAATACAGTTTCTGTGTAATTATTTCGGGGCATAAGCCATGGGGGCGGCTGGGTGCCAGGGATGCAGCCCCGCCGCTCCCTCAACAAAGGTATGCACATGCACCCTTGTTGCGTGACATACTTTTTCAGGGAAGACAACACACAGTCTATTCACCCCAGATAGGGAGCCCACAGCAGACCAAAGTATGGATACCACCAAAGTCCAACTTTGGGAGCCATCGAGGTCTTTGAGGTTACTTACAGGAGTAGAAATGACTCAAAGAAAGCTGCATCACCAGCAAAGTCTACCCCATCATGGGTGACAGCTCACAAAAGCTGCTGAAAATCTGGAGCACACAAGTTGGAGAGTGTCCTACCAGGAGCTTCAGCAGGCCCAAGCCTCTTCCAGGCCGCTCTACTGGTCTTTGATTCGTCTAGGCAATTGGGCTGGTCTCTGCTACTTTCAAGAAACTTGGCTTGTAGGAGACTCAGCAGTGTTTACTCTGGGGGAGTGGGGCAGCAGATTGATCTGGTCAGTTTCAGGGAGTACCTGAATCATTTTGAGTTGCTTGCTTTTTGTCTTAAGGAACTTCCCTGCAGGATAGAATGTTTCCATCTCAGAGGAAACTTTTACGCAACAACCTTGCACACACACACACACACACACACACACACACACACACACACACACACACACAGAAGGAAAAATCAGATATATAGTTATGTGAGTTCAGACCAGAAGTAATGTTTGCCAGTCTGGGGTAGGAACTGTGGGAGAGGCAGGTGCCTTTTAGATTGTCTTGGAGATGGTGCTGATTGAAATTGCTAATGGATTGGATCTGCAGCTGAAGGAATGGAAAGGCACAGAAATAGCTCTTAGGTTTCTGACTTGTGCAATAGGGACAGGTGTAAAAATGGGGAAAGGGTGTAAAAAGGGAAATAGAAGTTTAGTTTTGAAAACAAAGTTATATCCAGAAGTTATGTTATATCCAACTGTTTCATTCATATTACCCTGGCTACTTAAGCCACTCATAACTTCTTAATTTTTTTTTTTATTTTTGACACAGGGTTTCTCTGTGTAACCGAACTGGCTGTCCTGGAACTCACTCTGTAGACCAGACTGGGCTCAAACTCGCAGAGATCTGCCTGCTTCTACCTCCCAAGTGCTGAGATTAAAGGCGTGCGTCACCACTGCCTGGCTCATCTTTATTTTTATATAGAAGTGTGTGTGTGGTGTTTGAGACAGGGTCTTGACACATAAACCAGTAGACCAGGCCAGCCTTGCCCTCACAGAGATCTGCCTGCTTCTGCCCCTGGTGCTGGGATTAAAGTCATGTGCCACCACAGCCAGGTGACACATTGCTTTATGAGATTTAACACTTTTTAGCATTTCTTCCATATACTCCAAAGTCCATCCTGCCCCACCTTTTCATTTCTTCTTCCTTATGGCCCTTTTTTCTTTTTGGTGCTGCACAGATTAAGCATACACTCTTGCACCGAACAAAGGCCCTGATTTCTTCTCCCCAGATCTTCCACTTTTCCAGGTTTCAGCCGCACTCTTTCATCCCCCTCACTCTCCCCCATGATCCAAGTAGCCAGAAAGTCCTATTGAGCTCCCTCCCTATGCACTGCAGCTCCCTTTCTCTTCCCACTGCTGCCAGCCCAGCTTAAATCGGTGACTACTCCTTATCTAGACTTGCCAGTCTTTCAAATAAACAATTTTCATACACACTGCTGTTGTAGATTTTTTTTTCTGAAGATTCTAAGGGCTCGGGGTCTAGCACACTTTCCTGGCAGACACAGAGCCCTTTCATCCTCAGCATTACAAAAATGCCCCCCCCCACCTTTCCAAGAGAATGGAGTGTGTGTGTGTGTTTGTTACTCTAATACTTGAAGCCTTTCATGATCTGGTCTGTTCTGCTAAAATAGAGTTACCTTTATCCACTGAGCCATCTTGCCTGTCACACTTTATTTGTATTTAAAAAAAAAATAATTTGTTTTATGTGCATTGGTGTTTTGCCTGCCTGCATGTCTGTGTGAGGGTGTTGCATCTCCTGGAACTGAATGTATAGACAGCTGTGAACTGCTGGGAGGGTGGGTGCTGGGAATTGAACCAGGGTCCTCTGGAAAGGCAGCCAGCGCTCTTAACTGCTGAGACATCTCTCCAGCCCCAGTTCTTTGTATTTTTATGTAAGCTATTCCTTCCAGTCAGCATGGCGTCCCATCCTCACCAAGCACAATATTGTACATTCACTAAGATTGTCTCAAATGCTACTAAGAACCCTGCTTAACCATTTATTGAATACTCATTTAAGTACTTAATGCTTATTTTGTTAGGTAAATTAAGCACCTTACATGCATCATCTGGACCTGTATTGACATGGTTTCTTTTACAGTTCCTTATTTTCTGTATAATAATGCTGATTCCTCGAGAGTACATTGCATCTTTGAGTCCATAGAGTGATGGAAATACTTGAGTAGCTGAGTGATGACCGTGCTTTGAACTAGTTCCTATGGAAGAATACAAAGGAAGCATGACTGGATCCATTCTAACTGGAGAACACATGTACACACACCAAGATTGCAAGAATATTAAGTATCAAGGAGATAATAAATGGAATACTGACCACAGGTGTAGCACAAAGTCCACCTGGAAGAATCAAGTTCATGTAGTAAAAGGAGTATTTCGATTTTCATTGTCAGGTAGATCTGATTTTGGGTTGTTTTCCTACTTCAGTGTGTGGCTAAGAATGACGCTTTCTCTTTAGAATACGCTGTAAAGTAAGCATATTACGGCTTCCTTCACAGAACTGTTGAAAGGATTCACTAAGATAATAACCAAAGTGCCTCTCACAAAACGAAGTTACACACGTGGGCTTGTTTCAGAGGCCTCAGTAGGTCAGTTCAGGATGGTGTGAGTGTTGGGGGTCTGGGAACTGACCAGCTAGGCTCAGATCATGGAGGCATCCAGAAACCCAAAACTACACTACCTGAGGGCACACTAACACCCTGCATGCCAAACCGAAAACATTCGCCCTAAAACAGTCACTGTTTAGCTGCAGAAGCGAATGAAAGGAAATGTGAGAGGGAGCTGCGTTTTCCAAATTTTGGGGCGACATCCTGCACTTTCCATCACGCGAAAGATCCAGGAAGATGCTGTTATTTTTCTTTGGTTAGATTCTACCTTACAATTTTCACAATCTCAGTCAGTTTCAGGAAGGGGATAGCTGATTTGTCAGAGTAGATTACTGGTGAAATTGTTAGCTCTTAACGGATCAGGAGGAAAGGTAGGAATAAAGTTGCAGCACGAGATTTGCTGTGTAAAATTTCCAAACCAGTCAGTGAGTTAATCCCACAGCCCCTCAAAGCCTGTTCTAAGTACAGTCAGCTGATGTAGCTGGATGGTGGTGGGTCTTATGTGGCTATTAAAAATGTATTTAAACCTCTAAACATTTAAATGGCTCTATTTACAGACTGAAAACTTAAAAGAGTTGAGGCTCCTTTTTAGCGCCAAAACTTGAAATCGCAGCTTTTAGCTGTGACTCTTCCGTTACCTTACTCTCTTAAAACTACATCTCCCAGCATGCTCTGAAGCTAATCTGACCTCATTTCAAATGGCCCCGTAGGGCAACAAGGCTGGTTAGTTTTGACCCTGCTGTTTGTGCCTTGAAAAAAACCGATTCCTTGGCAGCCATTTGGGCTTTTATATCTGTTAAGCTCTTTTTTTTGAACTGTAGTCATTAAATGAAGGGATTTGGTCTGGGAGGGCCCATTCATTCCCTCAGCTGGGCGAGGGACCAGGCAAACTGTCTCCGGCAATCTAAATAAGAGGGAATGTTGAACAGGGAACACCGCTGGGGCCGAACAGAGGAGCAGGAACCGGAGCCCAGGCTGTGTCCGCAAACTGTCGGATCCGGACTTTGGCTCAGGGACGGTCGGAAGTGGGAGATGGAGATGCCAGAGGAACCGGCCGATAGTGGGCATTCGCTGCCCCCGGTTTATATTTATAGTCCCGAGTATGTCAGCATTTGCGACTCTCTCGTCAAGATCCCCAAACGGGTAAGAGGTCTGGATGAAAGACCACCGTTTGGGGGGATGGGAGTGGGAGGGTGTAAAACGGAGTATGTTAGGAAACCAGGAAAACTAGAGTGATACCTTAAACAAAAATTTAGCTAGCCGTTTCAGGTATACCAAGCTGAGGCAGAAGGAAGTGGTTACCTTTGGGGAGCACAACGGGACGTCCGAGCCGAGGGTGAAGGCGGGAGGGCTGAAGGCGGGGGAGAGAAAGAAACGGTCAAGTGGTGAGTGGAGTTTCTAATAGGATGGGTTCATTGAAGTCCTTGACCACAAGCTGTTGGAGGATAGTATGCCATCACTTGTGTTCAGTATCCTGGGTAGCCTGGCGATTTTAATGCTTTGTGTTATTTTGTCTTAAGTTTTTCCCAACTGACAAAGTGACAAGAGAGAAGAGATAAAGTAGTTAGTTCTTCATGCAGGATGTTGTTAATGGGATTTCAGTAAATTGAGCCTTGAAGAGACTGTTTTGCCTTTCTTTTTTCATGCTGATATTTCAGGCCAGTATGGTCCACTCTCTGATCGAAGCATATGCCCTGCACAAACAAATGAGGTAAGTATGTTGACCTTTCTCAACATTGTCACCCATGAAGCCATAATAAATACCCGATCATGTAATGGGACTAGCCAGGGAGAAATGGGCCTTTAAAAAAAGTTTTTGTGGGAGTGTTCATGATGTGTCTGTAACTCAGGAAAAGTGTTTGAAGAACTGAGAACACTTGGGAAGGCACACAGAGCAGTCAGGATCCACTAGAAGGGACTTTGCTGCTGGATAAGCATTTGCCAGATGCTAAGATCTTTTTGATGTGGGTGGGGAGGGGTTAAGCAGGGAAGTGTTCAGTGTGTTTTATATTTGCTTTGGGTTTGGTTTTATTTGTTTTCTAAAGCTGGATTTGAGGATGTGGGCTCAACTTGAGACTTTTAGATATACTACCCCACTATCATCGCCAAACTTTACCCCAAGCAATCTGTTGAAAACAAGCCAGAACTTAAAAGCTAGCAACATGCATCTCAAAAACAAACCAAAACCAACTTTCCACTGATTTCCCATTCTGCGTGTAATATCATAAATGCAACTCTTTCGGACGTGGCACATGCAAGTCAGGTTTTCTCGTGACTGGGGGAGTGACTGTATCATCTAATGCTTCATTTCCCTCCCAGAAAGTAATGTAATACGTTTTTAGATTTTATCCTTAGTATTATTAGTCATTTTAATATGTACGTTCATTGTGTGGTTTTTCAAGACAGGGTTTCTCTATGTAACAGTCCTAGCTCTCCTGGAAGTCAGTTTGTAGACCAGGCTGGCCTCGAACTCACAGAGATCCACCTGCCTCTTCCTCCCAAGGGCTGGAGTTAAAGGCACACCACCACCTCCCGACAGTGTGTACATTCTTTAGGAATGTTTTGCTGTTGCTTTGAGACAAGGTCTCTGGTGTTGCTCCATCTGGCTAGGGACATTCCCTAGGCTGGCTTTGAACTTATTAAGGTCCACACGCCTCCGTCAAAAGGTGTGTGTCACCAAGTCTGGCTAGGAATGTTTTTCCACCATTGCTTAACTCCTGTGTTTGTCAAGATAATGATTTGCCTTTCCTTAAAGGATTTTAACACTTTTTAAGCCAGGTGGTGCTGGAGGGCGTCACAAATTCTAAGTCAGGCTTTGTGACTTAGCCAGAATCTGTCTCAAAAATTTTAAAGAGGTTTGGGATATTGTTCAGTGTGTAGAACACTTGTCTAACATACCTGAGGCCTAGATTCCCCC